AGGGGGAAGCTCACCCAGGCAGGCTGTGATAGCCAAGTGTGCTTCGACCAGCGAGAAGGCTAGTGCACAAGATCTTCTGGGCTATCTGCGCATGCAATGATAGGCAATTCATTATAGTGTAACTTACTCACAATGATAATGACAACGGTGATGGCTTGACTGCATCTGCCTGTGTATCCTCACCTGCAGCGAGTCAATCATGTTTGAGCAGTGCATCCTCACCTGCAGTGAGTCGCTCGCGTTTATGTTGTGCCATTCTTATGCGCGTGCGACACGTTCCGTCTCAATTCCGGCTCCCGTTTATTGTGAGTGATATCTATTTATCTACAGTGCATGTGTCTGACACATTCTTTTTCTCGCCCAAAGACGCCGATGCAAGTATCCCATCCCATTCCTGTCACGCCCAGCATCCACAACTAACTATAACCATTCAACAGATCGTCTGCGTGCGTGGTGCATTCCATTTCAACCACGCCATGGGTTTCAACGCTGCTACCATCTCTAGCCATGACGACACTTTCGACCTTGAACGCTGGAGGAAAATTTCAAACCATGGGTTTCGACGCTGCTACCATCTCTAGCCATGACAAAGCATCCACAACTAACTATAACCATTCAACAGATTGTCTGCGCACATGGCACGTTCCATTTCAACCACGCCATGGGTTTCGACGCTGCTACCATCTCTAACCATGGGTTTCGATGCTGCTACCATCTCTAGCCATGACAATGCTTTCAACCTTGAACACTGGAGGAAAAATTTCAAACCATGGGTTTCGACGCTGCTACCCTCTCTAGCCATGACAACGGTTAATTTGGCTAAGAAGATGCATTTCATGTGAAAGGATTTGGAAGTACAATTTGCGTAACGCTTTTGATGAATGACTCAGTTGGATGTGTGTAGGATATAGCACCGCAGTTTTTGTTTGAACAAAAATAATGAATTTGTGGTCTTGCAGACCTGGACTCGGACTGAATCAAAGGTTAGCACACCCCTCAGCTCGCTGCTGCCTCCCATACCTGTACCCACCAATCAAGGATAATGCAAAGCAGCTGCAAGGACAGCCTGAAAGCCAGCCCCACGATCCTTCTGTAGATAGTCACAGAAGGCTCGTACCTTGCCCATGAATGCAGAAGTGTTCTCATACTTCTCAACCAGGAATCTCAGCGCAAGGGAGACATTCCAGTTCGGCTTTGCTGACAGCTGCTCTACAAGGGAGACAACCTTGGAGCGCCTTGCAGCCTCAGTTTTGAGGCCACCTTCATTGCGTCGCCACTTTGCACCCCACCGGTCCTTTAGCTCTCGTGTCGAAAGATGGCCATTCAGGCCATTGACATACTCAGTCCAGATGTCTGTGATGGCATCCACAGGCTGGTAACGGTACCTTGGGAGCCAGTCTCCGTTCTTCCACTCCCACTCATGAGCGTCGAGCTTGGCCCGCCCATACTTGGCAAGAAGGGCTGCCCATTTCTCTGACTGTGGATCGGAGGGTGAGGTGTCAATGGCCGATGGCTGGTCAGCGCCAAAGGAGGGGAGCGCCAAGTTGGGACGGCTGACTGTGGGAACCAAAGTGCTGGTGCTCATGTTTGTGGTGGGTGCGCCTGAGATGTTGATGGTAAAATTAGGCATGGTAGTGTGGGGAAAAGAGGGGACGGTCTGAAGGCAGAGGGAGGGGAGTGAAGGCGGTCCAGTGATTTGGTGAGTGGGTGCTGGGATGGCTGTGGCAGCTACAAATTTTTCCCGAGTCATGAGCGCATCATTCAAGGAAGAATAGCTTACCTGTCTGCACAGCTGCCTTGTGGCTCCTTCTCCGCCACCCATGAGAGCTGCCTGCAGTGAGCTCTGCGAGCAGGGCACTCTGGGTTTCCATGTGCTGCCGAACCTCTGCCCGTAGGGCTTCATTCTCTGCACGCTGAGCTTGCTGATCCAGTGTCATGTTTGTGATGAGGCCCTTGAGGCTGCACACAAGATGCTGAGGCAGGTTATGAAAGGCCATCCTGGCCTGCTCCTCTGCCTGTGCGACTGCCTGGATAGCTTCGTGGGCATAGTCCCGGAAGCACTGCGTGTTGAAGGGCTTGAAGCGAAACATCTGAATTTCAGGGTGTTTGGTGTAGAGGAGTGCAGGATCCTGAAGAAGGACCAGTCGGAACCACAGCAACACAGAGAGGAACTGGCGGAGGGCAATGTCCATGGCAAGCGGTGAGCGTTGACTGCGGTCTTTGAGGTCTTGCTGTGCCTGCTCAACAAATGGAAAAATCTCCTCCATCAGTGCAAGCGGTGGAACTGCAAGTAAGTCATGCATTAGAGGATGCGCTGCAGGCCTTGTGGGTGCTCTCACCAATACTGTTCCTGGGCAGGGTGTAATCCTCTGGGCACCGTTGTAGAAACAACAATACAATGAGGAACAAAAGAAGCTCCTGACTGTATCTGTAAAAGTTGTAAGGTCGCGCGCTGCCTAGTCTGCGTTACTTGAGAAGCAAGTGCGTTCGACCCTATAGGGGAAGTGAGTGCAGCAAGGATCTAGAAGTGTGCGCTTAAGCGAAGCGCGAGAAAGCGCAGGTGTGCGCAAGGTACAAAGGCGCGGGAACGCGCGCGCGTATTAGCGCGAAGCGCGGGAAAGCGCGCGCGCGTATGCGGAAATGAGAAACTAAGCTTAAGTAGTGATATAAAGCAAGATAAGAGATATAAGAGTGCAAAATGTAAAGGAATAGCTTTCTACTATATTCTGCTAAGTAGTAAGTGGGTAGTAACTAGTAAGTGAAAAGTAGGAAAAGTAGGTAAGTAATAGTATGTACTGCTGGCGCTTATATAGCGCGCCTAAGCGCGGTCATGCGGAGCCGAAGCGCTACCGAGTAGGTATGTAAGGATATATATGAGTGAGAAACTATGATAAAAATAAAGGTGGAACCATGCTAATAAAGGAAATGGAAATATACGTACTAGGAAGCTTGGTGGACAGTGGATGGATGCATCTGAATGGCTGGCGCTATAGGGCGCGCAAGCGCAGGAACGCGCGCGCGCGTATACATCGCGAAGCGCGGGAATGGTGCGCGCATGGCGCGCGTTGCGTGGGAAAGCTGCGCGTCATATAGAGATAGCTGTGGGTAGCGCACAGAATGACGCTGCGAGTTTGTGCTGTATACTTCCTAGTGAAACCTGCCATATCACACCATGAGACACACGAGTCTCTACACCGTGCATTAAACATGTCTGCACCAAGCAGTGCATCCAAAGGGAATGCACGGTCATAGACTGGATTGAACGAGCCATTGTCACTCCAGCCACCGAGTGCCTTGGTGCCATTCACACTGGCACCGTGTGCACGTGCTGTCTGCGCAGCATAGTGACGGCCAGCATGAGTCTTCTTTGTGATGTCAACATTGTTCTTCATGTGCATGGTCGTGATGTGATCGCGATGGTCTGATACAATGATTTTCATGTCAGCTGGGATCTGAGTTAGTCAAGGGCGCACCCACTGCAACTCACTTTCATAGGTCATTTCCTTGGTCGGGCTGCCTGTGTAAAAGACATGGTATTCATACCACTCCCGGCAGCCATACTCGCCATAGTTCTGGTTGGCAAAGTCAGGGGCAAAGTCAGGAGGGGCGCAGTTGAGGATGTGGAAGTGTGCGAAAAAAAGGAATGCAAGCGCGCCGACGGGGCAGAGCTCAGCATGGACATGTCGTATGGCCCCATGCTCATCAACGCGGCCTGTTTGGTTGTGTTTCGCATTGTCCACCAGTGCAGCGAGGACCTGCACAAGAGAGTGAGGAAGGAGCAGGCATCGATATTGAAACTGAGCGCACGCACCTGGATCTCATTGTTTTGGTCCAGTGGAACGGTCGCTGGGAAGAGGTCTGACCACTCCAGCATACGGCAGCCCTCCCCTCGAAAGGCTGTTGCAGCTGATACCAGCAGCATCGCACGATCACGGATCCCAACAAAGACATATTGTGGCCCTGAGAAGTCTGTGAGGCACCAGAGAGAGCAATGGATGAGCTCGGCCTTGGTGTATGTGTCTGATCAATGGTTACTGTCAGCGGCAGGCAGGGATGCAGCGACCGACACTCACCAGAACTTGTGCCAGCAGCCTTCACTGTCTGTGACTTCTCAACTCTCTTCGGCTCATGGTGCCTTGATGCTGACTCGAACGCACGTATACGTGGATCCCTGCGCAGGCTGACGTGTGTCTCATGCTCGCGTGGGTAAGAGTGTGAGTGGTTGAGGCGGTACTTCTCAAGAGCATTGATAACCTGTGCAACGTGAGATTTCCCGAGGGATGAGCCTTGGATTAAGTCTTTGCTCCCGCGCTTGTACTGAGCATTAGAAAGAGGCGTCAGAAGAGAATTTGAACTGATATGAATCAGACGGTTACCTTCTCGCGTGTGGTCTCATGGTGGAGAAACATCGACGCCTTCGCAGCAGTCACAGGAAAGGCAGGAATCGGAACTCGTGTGCTGTCCACAGCAGCAGTGCGTGCTTGGTCTGCATCAAACCACACCTGATAGTTCTGAACTTGCCGTGGGTAGCTCTTTGCTGTGCCCTTCCCCTCAAGCTCCTTTTCTCCAATCCTCAGCCGCAGCTCATGGGATTCCCGCTCAAGCATGCTGAGCGAACGTTCCATGCGTGGGGAAACCGCCAGAGTGTTGAATGGCTCCATGCGCAGCTGCTTTGGACTTGGTGGAGGGAGGCAGGGGGGCGAAGATGTGCGGTGGATGCCATGAGTCGATGACATGGGTAAGCGCTGGTATGAATGATGGCAAAGGCTGGTAATGAAGTGCTTTTAAAGCAGCGGGCAGATTTGATTCAGCTCGGGTCCGTTAATTGCAATGTGGCAGCGCAGAGTAATTGACAGCGGTGCTGAGACAGGCAATAACCTGAAAGCCGCCAATGGAAAGCCACGCACGTAAGCATCGACACTCGGAACTAATGAAAAGGCAGGACCTACAGCCTAGTGCGTTAGTGCCGTCCCTTCCGTTCTTTTCCCATGTTGGATCGCTCACATGACTGTCCAACGGGTAACAAACGGCGTGGGTGGATTCACCTGCCAAGTACACTAGCAATCGCTCAGTTGAGTGCAGGACCATCAGCAATAAAAAATCTTAAACATTACCTTGAGAGTCGGACGTGCAGCAAAGTAGCACAAGAGAGGACAGAACGTGAGTCTTGCGACCGTGCATGGTGAAAGTCCACGGACGGAGAGGCTGAAGATGTTAAAACTATGAGAAATGTCAGAACGGAAAGAATGCAAGGTCTGGACAGATTGAAAGACACTTACTGGAGCATGTTTGGGTGCCAGGGACAGAACTTCAAGAAAGAAGAATAGGGCGGATGAAGAGAACGCGAGCCTTGGGACCGTCCGACCGTGGATGGTGAAAGTTGAAAGTCCATGGTATCAGTGCACTTGAGACTCTAAAAAAAGGTCAGAATGCAAGGAATGCAAGGACTGGAAGACACTTACCAAAGCATAGTATGCGATGCCCTTGCGCCCCAGGACAGAACCAAAAGAGTGAAGAATGTAACACTGTGAAGAATGGTCAAAGCGGAAAGGACGGCCAAAGTGAAAGGCACGTACCGGATTGAATGAAAGTAGACATTTCGGACCGCATGTAACACTGTGAAGAATGGTCAAAATGGAAGGGGCGGCCAAAGTGAAAGATGCGTACCGGATTGAATGGAAAGTAGATAGGTAGAAAAGAACAGACTGAAAAGAGCGAAAGATGGTGCTGACAACGCTAGCATTCGGAATGAAAGCATCGAACATTGGTTTGCATGGCGGACGTGGCACAACACACACCTGCACTGATTCCACCCCCCCAATGGCAACGGGGCGCGCCCAGATCTCACGTAGACCTTGGTACCTACCTTGGCGGTAGTGAGCGCGCCCGGGTCTCACGTAGACCCACCCTGCAAAGGGCCAAGAGCCAGGAGCGTCGTCAGCCGCCCATCAGTGCTTGCCACCACGCCAAACCAAGCAGCGTCCAAAGGGACAGAGGACCGAAAGGAACACAAAAAGAAAGGAACGGCACGAACGGACTGGCTGGGACGACGACAATGGTGGTGGCAGCGGCGCACACAAACGAGAGAGGGGCGAGATCGATCGGAGTTTGAAAAAATAAATTGGCTGCCGTTGATCGACTTGGCGCCGGCGACGAGCCGTGTACACAGTTGGTGACTCCGCTTAGGTTTGGCGGGGGTCACCAGCGAGGTCACCATGCCCAGGTGGTACCCGGGGGTATACTCTATATATTGTGTCACCTGAAGTCTGATGGAACCTATGGAACATTCATCTTAAACTAGAGTGCATCCGAACTGTGGAGCTCTTGCAACCTGCGATGCAGACTGTTCCACAACACCTTCGATCTCGTATGTCCCCTTCAACCATTGCATGATCCATGATCCATGATGTGCCGTTTTCGTTATTTGACGTTGTCCTCTTCTTTATCACGCTCCCCTTGAACCGTCTATCCTGCCGAACGGTTGTCAACAACACGTGCAGCGCAAGTGCAGTGTCGGAAGTTTTTATACGGCATTTTAATCCATTAAAATGACCTAACGACTAGGCCAATTATAATCCATTATTATATAACAGTCAGCATTTTATTACACATTTTGATGAATATTATAATAGATTGTAATGTGCATTTTTATGGTGTTCACCCAGTAATCGCAATGTAATCTAGTCATAATGGTGGTCGTAATGATTCCAAGGCACGTTAGAATAGGTTAGAATGCGGGAGCATTATAATGCCGGAACAAAGTCTCCGACAAGCATAACCCGACTCGCGTGGGCCTGCCTCAAAGGCTACGTTGGAAAGGATCCCCGAGACATCGACTTTATCTCTTTCGCGAAGCCCTTCCATTACGTCTGCAAGGCCAGTCTGATTAACCATTATCTATCTATCCCTTCTCTGAAGCGCTGACATGACGCTACTGCAAGGAGCGCACCACCATCTATATATGCTTGAGCTCTGTCTTCCGGGCAACAAATTCTATCCCAGAGCCCTCCACGAGCTTGCACAAGCAGTGGGGACGATGCTTCAAACAATGCAGTACCATTGATGACCTAAACGAGTGCATACAACATCATTGTGAATTTGTTTCTCTGTGCTCCGAGGGACATCCTTCACGTGAAACCTGCCTGAATAACATGCCTGCTCTGATCACTGAACCAACTCTCATAACCTCAACGAAGCCATCTCTTTGTACAAAGAAGCACTGCACCTGCGCCCTGTTCCTGTTGGGCACATATGTCATGATTTTCCATTGAACAACCTAAAACTCGTCCTCCTCAATCGTTTCAACCAACGCGGTGATGTTAACGACATCATCATCAGAACCTCAGCCTCCAGCTCGAGGCAGTGACATTACACCCGCCTGGGAATGCGTATCGTGATTTCATGTTCAACAACTTTCCTCTCGTGCTCAAAACTAGATAAACCAAATCGGAAGTGAGCGATGATCTCAACGAGGCCATCGACTTGTGCCATTCACTTCAATTAGAACAGCATGGCCATCTCAAAGTTCTCGCCATTTGAGCTCGGTGTTCTGTTCTCATTTCATGCAAACTCAGAGCAATGGAAATATTAAGGAGGCTATTAGAGTCACTAGGGAATTTGTAGTCACTGCACTTGGACAGATATGTCAGTTATATGCGGCTGAAGAATGCACATGTCTTATTACCAGATCAGCATTCAAAATTGCACATTATCTCTCACGTGACACGACACGCATCCGTTTCGCAGTTAGTTGATGTTTCAAACTTTCAATCACCCTTAGTGTCGATTCTGACCGATCACAAAATTTGTTCATGTTCTTGCCTTGTTCCTCGAAGTTGCAAATCCTTATTTTTACAAATTTGAACTTCATTCTGAATCCCTGACGCAAATTGAAAGTCCTAATGCATGCAGCATTTATGTTTGGCTCCAAGGCAAGTTGAACAGACCTGGAAATGCAACAGGTTACGTGTAGCCACAGCCGAATGCTACATGCGAAGTGGTTAGATTGTCTCAAGAACATCCAGGTTGGTTTGAATATGGCACCAACTGTGAAGGATCTAGTGTGGTACGTTTCGCATCGGGTTTCACTGAGCGGCAGAAGAGAGCGAGCAAGTGTGCATCACTTGGTGACTGATCCCTGGACAGAGGACTTGCGACATAGGAGGAAGGTGAAGCGTCGAGGTATGTACGTTAATAAAAACGTCAACTGCAGCATGCAATGCGGATCTCTAGGAGCGTGGTGCGTCAAGTTTTCATCAGTCACCTTGGGCCCTTACTATATTTTCGTATTTGCTCGTCAAGTCCCCAGGGGAAGGCAGCGAGGCAGAGATGCTGCTGAAGTTTATTTCGAAACAATGTGGGCATCAATTTGCCATCGACTACATAATCGTCAGAAGGAAAGTCGGGCTTCCTGCGATGCGTCCGACTTTGGTTTCTTCCAGTGCTCTATTTGCATGATGCATCAATTTATTTTCGTGGTACACCCGCTGAAAAGGGATGACCACCATCTACCCCACGGCCGAACTGCATCCATCACTTGTCTGTGCACACCCTGTGCATTCTCTACGTTCTCTGATCTTGGTCATCAGTCGGAGTTCTGGGGCGTCAATGTAGTCTCGAGCGTCGTTATAGTAGCTGGTTCATGCGAAATATAGACGACGCCCCAATCCACAGGCTACCGTATGAAAGCGTGAATCAACGGAAGAACTTTCAATTGGCATCAACTGCATGATGAATCCAGTGGTATGGTGTTGATGGTGTGCCTTGGTAGCTGTATGGCGTGGGTGAGTTTTTTCCTCAGACTTTGACTCTGATGGTGTGCCAACAGAACTTTACCACCGTCAATTACTGTGTATCTAAGTATCATTTTCTCCAATGCCCTCTCTCGACGCTCTCTTGATATAGGGGTGAGTTTGTTTGCTTCGTGTCGATCTCCCCTATGTTGACGGCCAGCTTTTCTGGCCTAGCGTCATGCCGATGCAATGTGAATTTGTTGAGTGACCTTGGTTGAACTATTATGCTCCCCGGGCCTGTGCCGGCGAGCCGAAAAGAGGGGAGATGACAGGCTTTTTGATGGTCGCACCTTGCTCAGTACGTGTCAAACATATGAAGTTGCACTGATGGACTGATGCATGTGTAGCAAAAATGGCATTTGAAACAAGGCGACGAGATCACGAAACAGTTCTTGATGTTGTTCAATCTTTTGGAGTGTTCAAGTGTTTCGCCCGTGCAAATGTTTCATTGCTAATATATGATGAGCCCCTGGATTAATTTACCTTTCTTCATGCAAAAAATATCTACTTCAACCAATCAATACAAGAACGGCCATCCTCCCTTGATTTTGTTTCAGTGATCCAAGCACTGGATGGTGGTATAACTAGCACGAATGCCATCATCATACGACCACCAAGTTTACCTCTCAACCACACCCATTCTCTGCCGATATGACCATAGTTTCGAATGATCCCACTTGGTGGCCGACCATCAATGAATTTCGTTTTTTCAGCTATTTTTCAGGTTCGTAGAGAGCAGTCAAATGTTGAAGCTGATGTCTCGATCTAACCTTGGTTATGGTTTCGCAGTTGCCGCCTTTGTTGGAGTGACGTATGATTGGGGTGTGCATGATCATATTTGAGGACTGCTGATATCTTACAAGTATTTTCAGCACTTACATTCGGGCAAGAGGTATGTCGATGCTATGACCGGAGCACCCATCTCGCTAAGAATAGTGTCATAGGTTGAACTGGTCTGGGTGAGTAGAGTCTCATGTCAGAGGAACACTCATGAAAGCACACTCAATTACAGAGGCAACGTTGGTCCTTGATGACAGTTCTGTATCTCGGTGTATGTAGCTTGTTTGTCGCTGTTTTCATGTTGTGCTGACTTGAAAGTACCCTGCTAGGTGCGCTACCCTGGATTCTTATTTGCTGCGTATGTTCGGAAGGCTTAACAGTCAGTGTTGTGCTAACTATATATCTCTCATAATCAGCCTGGTCGTAGTGGGTATGTATCCTTAGTACATATTCTCTGTCTTTGCCTCTTCTGACCAACAACATACAGGCAATATTCCGACCATCTCGCTGACAGATACAGTAAGTCTTCTGCACAGATGCCTATTAGCCCCCTCCAATGAACTGTGGTGCCCTATAGGAGTGGGTGCCGTTCTTTACTAGCTTCTTGGTTTACTCATGACTGCCACCCTATACTGTCATAGATGTGAGTCCGTTTAGAGTGTGGTACCCGAGGCAGGTCACTGACTGAATCCATCAGGCTTCATTATGTTTGTCACACGGGATGTGACGAATGCCTTTGTACTACCAATGCTGTGGGGTGAGCTTGGCACTTGCGACACCTCGGTGATATTGACTTGACTGGAACATGCTGCAAGTCATCATCATCACTCGGTTATATGCCATGTATCAAGGATCCAGAAAGATCCTGATATTTCTCATTGTCACCTTCCTGGCTGTTGCCATTTTAAACGGAGGGACAATCGTAATAACAACGATGCGTAGTTCAGGAGGTACGCATAATTGTGGATGAAAACAAACGTGCACGGGGCTCATTGATGGATACTAGTGGAACTCATTTTCTCTGGCACTCATCAGTGCGCGATTGCCTATCCGGAAGTTATTCAACTTCTAAATTCCATTTCTTGGATATTCGGTACCGTGTGGGAGGTCCTCGCACTATGTCTCGCAATCTGGATTGCTGTAAAACACTTCCGTGAACTACAACGACATTCGACGGGAGGGTTTATCGAGGACTGTTTCACAGTGTTGATGAAAACTCACTTAGTTTACTCTGCGAGGCAAGCTCATATTGTGATTGTGATTCCTTTTTTTTACTGAAGGGTCCGATATGGTAGCTTTGTTGCTGTTTCTTGCTCCCATATCATTTTTGATTTCTCTCCCACACTGATCTCAACGGTATGTTAATCTTTCACTTCTGTATGCGACCACGATCCATCATTCCTATAGGGCCAACAATCCATAGGCGCTCAGACTTTGTACGGCTTTCTTCAAATTTTAGAGGTCGTGCACACGTCTGTGCTAGGACCACGCCTGATCCTTGGCATTCGAGAATATAACGCCAAGCTCGTGGCCGACTCTGACGCAGCAACAGGCATGACCTCGATCGCTTTTCAAGAACGTGTGCATATATCAACTAGCAGTAGTGTGTGATGCTCGGTGAAGTTAACGGTTGTCTAGTGCTCTGCAAGGAGCAGGGGAACTTGCTTTTATTTATTCCCACTTTCGTGATAGTATTGATTAAGCTTATTTAGTGCTCTGAAGTAGATTTCGAGACATAGGTCTGGGCAAAGTTTTCGTCGTATATTTAGTTGAGATTCAAATCAGTTATTTAACTACCTGCCATTTCATATCCGAGATTTGCTATACGTGCTGACATTGTTTGCATAAATCGATATCCTAGATATCTCTACTGGCACGAGCTGTCCACCCACGCTTGCACCAACTACTGATCCGATCCTGCATTATGATACAAGTTCAAACTATGACGAACCTAATGTGAAAATCGCCGCTTGCCTCATCTTCACGCGCTTAATAGTTAACGTCCTGCTCAATCAGCGCGACGGCTCTTGAAGAGCGAGGCTTAATGGAACACTTGAATGGTTTGGGGTGGCTAGAAGGACATGCATCCAGATCAGCGCCGGACGTGATCAGATGTATGACATACCTGATTGTGCCTGACAATGGATCAACCTCAGGGGTAATCTCAATACCGTTCTCGACGGCCTTCGAGATATCGAACACGGCTAGTGACATCGCAGCGGACAACCAGACCGAGGCTTCAGCGAGGTAAATACCTGTAAACGAAAATGAATACAACGTCAGAATATAATCTGAGAGTCGGATATACCTGGACAAATACTGCAGAGCAGAAAGTTAGCATGGCACAAAACCTTACCGCATGCTTACCGTCTTCCAAAACCGAAGCAGATCGTGCGTGGATCTGTCTCAGGCTCCTTGCCTAAAAAGCGTTCAGGATTGAATTGCGAAGGGTTAGCATATCTCTTCGGGTCATTCAGCATGAACCTGCCATTATATTTTGTTCAAACATCGAATATGAGAATAAAGAATATACTAACCAGATGTTAGTCATGACCATGGAACCTTTTGGGATGTAGTACCCGTCATGAATGTCGTCCTTAGAGACGCAGTGGGCAAAACCTGACATTGAAACACGCTCGGCAACTCAATAATGCGTCAAATGAAACACACAAACCGGTAGGGATAACAGAATGCCATCGTAAGGCCTCTTTAACAAGCGCTCCGATGTAGGGGAGTGTGTCTTGGTCGTCGAAGGAGG